TGATACAGAGAGGATACTTCACATAGGAATATAATGTTTTAGCATAGATGGAAAAATGTACGCTATTTTTAACACACTGAAAATAAGACATTTTTATTTTCACATATTAAATGTTGTTAGAATCCAGCTTTGATAATTTCTACCATTATCCATAGTTTCTCTCATTTCACAGTGCCTTTTGCTTCAAGGAAAGCTTTTTTAGCTACAAAACTCTGTCATGGTTTTCCTATGACCAGCATCCTAGGTCAAAGGGATAGATCTTAAGCAGGGCAGCAGAGGCTGGAATTCCAAGTGACCCAGAATCACGTATTGTACGTGCCACAAATTTGAATTTCCTGGACCAGCTCCTGAACTATGACTCACAAAGGCAGCTCCCAGGTGATTGCTCCTGCCATTCTGTTGTCAAAATGTTTTTTCCTGCATTTCAAACCACAACCGCAAAGTGAAAGTAAAAATTCCAGGCGACTTTAGATATTCTGACATCTCAGTCTCACAGATATCACATAACTCTGTGAGTCACCTCAGATTCCACTGTCCCGAAGGCAGGAGGGCAGTCCCTTTACTATTACACTGCTGTTCTCTCCTCCTTTTTATAATTTCTTTTTCACATTAAATGTTTTCAATTCTTTTGTCAAAAGTAATTTATCTGCAGCATTCTGATATTTTATCATGAGAGAATAATCATAAATTATAATATAAGGCCAGTTTTAGCTAACTTTTAATTCCTATTGTCTTGTAATACATAGACTTAAATTATTCAGTAAATATATCATTTACTAATGTAGTTAATGCAATTAAGGAAATACATTAAACAGAGATTAGGGAAATCTTATAAGGAACAAGATATTTGATAAAAAGCTATCTCTGCTGTTAGAGTGCCTTTAATTTGAAAGTAGGAGGAAAAATTAAGAAAACAGTTTATATTAAGATATCTCCATGAAATTCATTGGTTCACTGGTAAGTGAAAACTTTGGGGTTGTAATATATATATATATATATATATATATATATATATATATATATATATATACTTATGTAGACATATATGGGTGTCTATGTTTTTAAAATCTATCAAAAGGAAAGATTTATGAAAGTATGGAATGACTTCTGGAAAGTTCTAGTCAGGAATAAACCCAGGATTACAAGGGCTAGGAAAAATAATTATTGCTATTTAGTTTATAAACCTAAATAAATACAGTGTCAGGCAATTTGTCAAACAAAACTTTTTTTTGGAAAGTGAACTATAATTTATAACCTTAAAAATAATTTCAATATTCAGCTTCATAACTAGTTTTTTAACTTTTATGTAGAGACAACTCTTTCATTATTCCTCAACATGGATCTTTTAAAACGTTACCCCAAACCTAATATTCTGTGTGTATTTGATTGAGTGTGTGTGCATGTGCATGTGTGTGTGTCTGTCGCGAGCATGTGTGTATGTGTGTGTGTGTGTGTGTGTGTGTGTGCATGTGTGTGTATGAATGTGTACTGCATGTGTCACTGTAGGTAAAGGCAAGATGCAGTGGATTCCCCAGAGCTGGAGTCACAGGCAATTGTGAGCTCCCTGGAGTGTGTGTACTTGGCATCTAACTTGGATCCACTAGAAGAGTAACAAGAACTCTTAACCACTTGAGCCATTTCTCAAGCCCCTGTCTTCTTTGTTTTAAAGAGTTTTTTAAAAGGAAGATCGAAATCTTCTCATGAGAAAATGACAGGAGTTAATAACAAAGTTTTACCATGAACACATCTTTGGGGAATGAGAGGTAAAAAAAAAAACAGAAATAAAACATGAAAAAAAAAAAGAAACTTCGTGTGGATGTGCTCTTCCTGAGACGTTTAAACAAACTTTAGAGAGCTCTGGTGATACAATCACACCACCAAAAAGTAACTTTGAGTTTAAAATAAATTATTTGCTTTGCAAATTTTACACTGAAGACATTTGGAGTTTTGACTACAGTGCAATTGAATTTAAGAGACAGTTGACACACTCTTTCTCATCTCTTTAGTAACCACACACAGCTCTTAAGAGAATGTCAACACTAATTTCCTAAGCACAGACTTCTCAACGTTGGAGCTGAAATTCTTTGTTATGGTGGCTGCTACGTTCATTGCAAGATGTGTTGTAAAACTCCAGGCTTCTTCTACTAATACCAGTCTTGTTCCTTACTTCCAACATGGCAATATCTGCAAAGATTGCCAAATGTTGCCAAGGGGCAGAATCAAAATGTCTGTCCACCTCCACTTCATCTCTTTATCCATTTCTCTAAGTGGTACTCAACTTTCCTAACTCTGCAACCATTTAATACAATTCCTTATGTTGTGAGGATATCCAACATAAAATTATTTTCATTGCTACTTCATAACTGTAATTTTGCTACTGTTGTGAATTGAAATGTAAATATCTGATATGCAGGACATCTGATATGTGACACTTTTGAAAGTGTTCTTTAATCCCCAAAGTAATTGAGACCCACAGCTTGATAGACACTGTTATAAATCAATGAAGTGTGAGTTTCAATGATTTGATATGCTAAGGTATTTTACTCTTATTATTTTCCTCTGAAGGTTAAAGTTATAATTTAGTTAACCTAAGCAGCTCAATGAGATGCCCTCGGTTATTAAGAGTTTATTGATTAAAATAAAACACACAAAGCTGTTTGAAGTTCAGTTTTTAAATGTTATAGTTTATAGACAATCTTCTAATGATTTTGACAATTGTTTTCTTAATAAGTAATTAAGAACATAAAATGATTGTATCTTTATTTTATTAAAGAGGAAGGGAAAAGATTAGACAACACAAGTAAATTGATCCAGGCATAAGGCAAATACCAGTAATGTCTGCTCTAGAAGATGAAGAGGATTGTGTGCTCTAGAACAGCCTGGGCTAGATTACTAAGTGGCGGATTGTGCATGCTACATAGTGAGACCTTGTCTTAAAAAATAGTAGATCAAAAATGTGAAAACTGAGCTCCAGGTTCCTTGAGAGGTCCTGTCTCAAAAATAATGCATAGAAGACTAAATTAAGACATGTGAACTCTGAACTCTGGCCTATACATACACGCAAATGAACACATGCACACACACGTATATACTCAGACACATGTATAGGCCACAACTGCACACACATATAACACAAACACACATGCACACATGTACACACTTGTAGACATGTATATAACATACTGAACACATTATCCCAACCATCACACACATATAAATGCAAAAATACATAAACAGCCACAACAGAATTTTTTCTTTTCTTTATTGTCTGAAAACTATGTGACAAACTTCAACCAGTTGACCTGAATATAGAAAATCATATCCCCAAGATTAAAAGAAGGAAGAAATATGTCAGGGAAATTGTCTATTCCCACACTAGAAAAAAGAAGAAACTAAAAACTGTACACTGAGGAAAACAGGGAGACACCTAGACTGAGAGGTCTATGTCATGCCAAACTTATTTTATCATAAAGACTTTGAGATTAATAAAGAGAATTTGTTAAATTATGTAATAATAATATTAAAGAATCTATTTACTCTAATTCTTAATATATGGAAATCTGTTATCTTTAGGCCATTTTAAAAGGAAAACATAAAGAAAAGTGCTGTTTCAATTTCTTATGGTTAAAAAATAGCTACCTACATGACATGTATATATGGTGTTAGTAAATACGTCAGTATGGATTAGTATTTCTTCTATACTTAAACAGTAGCTTTCCACAATATATCACAAATGATATAATGAAAAATTTAAAGATACAAAAGCAAAATTAGATATAACTTTTTGATAAACTAGTATTATAAGTTCTCCAGCTCAATCACGAGATTTGGTTTATTTTTCTGACAATCAAAGTTGTGTTTTATCCCAATTATTTAATTCCCTTATACCTATAGTAAAGCCAAATCCTGGCTAATTTCATTCTCTTTGGTCCACAGGAGCATGGAAGCCCTGATGGTGGGTTTTGGCATTTAGTCAGCGTCAAGGTGTGCCAGAAAGAAAAGCAGACACAAGGATGACAGACAGATGAAGTATCGTTGACAGAAAACATCCCTTTGTGAAGAGACAGTTGACAGTACTGGGAAAGGAAGTCAGCATGTTTAGGTATCCAAAAAAACTGGATACCAATAGTAAATTATAGCAATTAATAGCACTTTGAAAAGAATACAACCACAGACAGAAAGAGAACACATGAATTTGTTTCTATGAGAAATACCTCAAACTGTATGCATTTTATCCCCAAATTATGCTCACAAGGAAAGTGTGATAAATATTTATTATAGTTTTGAGAGACATGAGAAGTTTCCAAATTTATGATTCTGTTTTTTAAAATAAATAAACATATATAATTTTCTTAAGTAAAAGGCTAATTATAAACATGTGGAGCACCAAAATTCCATACAGCTTAGTAATCTCTGTCTGGACTGGCAAAGTTTAAAATTTATATAAAAAGTTAAAAATTAAGGCAATACTGGCTTTAGCATCTAAATAATATCAAGTTTTGAAACAATCTGAACAAGTAAAAAATATTCAAAATAAGTGAGTGGAGTATATGCTTCCAAAGTTGAGTAATGATTTTTATTGTAGTTAAACATATCACCATGGTTAATTTTTAAAACTATAACTTAGAAAATTACCATTACCAAAGAATACACTTCGAATATAATATGAAACTTCAAAGTTTTGTCAATTCCTTTATACTTATCCTATCACAGAATATACTAAATAACCGTACTTAGAATATCCATAAAATGTCAATAATAATTAAAATATTTAGCCATCCAAGTTCAGCAAGTAATGAATCCAAGAGAAAAGCAGTCTAGAATTTTCTGTAGCCACATAGAATATTAACATTAAATTGTGCAGTCCATAAACTGACACACTCATCAACAGATCTTTCACAAGAATCAGAGATTCTTCAGAATATGCATTGAACATTCCTTATTTTCTCAGAGAGGAAAAAGACAGCATCATGTTCATTTCATTGGTCAAGTGAACTTACCCCGTGTGATGGGTAGGAGATCCATCCCAGCTCTCCTTGAATTGTTTTTGAATCTAGAAGATTAACTGCAAGAAAACAAAATAACACAATAAATGTAAGCTCATTGAACTATCTCTGTAGCTGCTTCCATTAACGATGTCTGTTTTCAGTATTGTTGTCTAATAAACACCACTGTTCTTTTTATTTTAAATACATGGTAAGTACAACAAAAAAGATACATATAACTGTAGAGAAAGTGGATCAAACATTGTTATGGCTTTTAAATTTGTACATTTAGAACAGACTAACAATCATGTAAGGATACATCTGACAGAAGAAAACTCTTACAAGAAAAAGAATAAAAATGCAAAATAAGCAAGAAATTAATTCTAACATAAAGTAACTACAAAGACAACTAATTTGAATTACCATATGATTCCCCTATGAGCTTTCTTAAATATGTTCTTAAATAATTAAAATTCCTATTGTGTTTTCCATACTTACTACCACTTCATAATACCAAACATATTATACAAATCATGTTTGTAATGTTTAAATTATTAGCACATATAATAAAGTGATTCACTGTGGATCTGGGGAGTAAGTGAAACAATGAAGGCAGTATTTTAGAATATTACTGGTAAAATCTTGACTATGTATAAAGGTGTCCTGCTAAAAGGCGTAAGAGATTTTTCTTATAACATTATTACTGACTAGTCTGAATCCTAAGCCATATTTATAAAGTAAAAGTAAAATGTAATTTTCATGTAGTTACATTTTATTAAATGTAGATGAAAATCATTTTTCTCAATACCAAATTTTTGTGATTGTTATAGGTCAGAAATTAATGTACTAAAAGGGTGCTTTCATTTTTTTGTTGTTGTTGTTGTTTGTTTGTTTTGAGACAACGTTTCTCCGTGTATCCCTGGCTGTACTGGAACTCACTTTGTCGACCAGACTGGCCTTGAACTCACAGAGATCCACCTGCCTCTGCCTTCCAGTGTTGGGATTAATAGTAATTGCCACTGCTGCCCAGCTGGGTGCTTTGAATTTAATTAACTATAAAAGCTCAGTTTTAATATGATGTATTACTTTTATATATCGGGCCTGTTAAATGGTAGAATTTATGGTTTTGCCACATCACATTAGAAAACAGCCTCACAATTGACTAACGCTTCCATTATGTAAAAGAAAATTACATAAACTAAGAATCTATTATTAATGTAGACCAGAGCTGGCAATCAATATAAACAAGAATTACATTTTAAAAATCCCAAATATGCCTATGTCAAAACACAATATTAATCCCCACATTGTATACTGCTCATTCGTGTGTTGGGATCTAAGAAAATTACTGAATTATTTCAAATAAATCCCAATTAAATTGTTACAAATGAACTAAATCAATGCAATATATCAAGGAAGAAAATATATGTGGCAGAGTCTTAAATATTAAAAATGACTAAAAAAATTCAAGGAACATGCTTGCTTGGACTGTTGGTTAATAAATACATCAAATAGCTAAAAAGTTTTGACCATTCACCTAAAATTACAAAACTTTAAATTGAATTCCCTCATTTGTAATGAAGAAAAAAATAAATTTAATCTATTTCTTTTTAAAATGCAATAATTAAAATAATAAGGGTGTCTAAAAAAGTCATATTATACTACTAACTACCTAACTAAAAATGTCTCTAATATATGTAAGTCAGTGTGTAAATATGCATGAATAGTTAAAACGAAATTCTCCCATCTGGGATGACAATATTCGTGCCCCTCCAATGAACCATAGACCACCTAACAAAAACTCTGGCAACAGTTGTGAAAAGTCCTCTTTTGAGTTGTTGGTCAGAGTTATCCAAGAGACTCCTAAAATATTATAGGGTTAATGGTGTTGTTTATTGTTCCTCAGAAGTAGTAGCTCACCCCTGTCGCTGAAGACATCATAAACTTAAGAAACTGGTCCAAAGTGTACATAAGCTAGATCTGACCTGAAAGCTTCCTCCCTGAGGACTGTCTTTTATGATAGCGAATGGAGACATATGAGAGTACAAAGAAGGTAAGAGTCAAAATACCTAAGCAGCTGTCATCTTATGATTCACAATTATGAAGCATGTCACAGTAACTCTAAGCATGCAATAGTGGCATGCATACCTTGGTGACAACCTAGGGTCTCTAATTAGACTTATCTTAACAAAAGAAAGATCATCACCTCATACTGGAAATCTAAGCAGCTACCAGCAGCTAGTGAAACCGTGGATCGTGGAGGGGAATCTACACCCATGTCTTTACTAAACAAGCATAATCCATAACTATATTCTGAATATTTGTCCCTTTGTCCACAGATAAGAATAGTCCTTACACCTCATCAAAAAGACTACTTTGCAAATGGTGAATACCATTAAAGAAAACCACAACTAGTCAAAATGCAAAGTTGGGAAGCCCAGTCCCATCTTCTACATCTACAATACAGCTCTTGCACCCAATGCTCAGAGATATTGATGAAGAATAAGGGGAAAGATTCTTAAAGTCATAGGGATAGGGGATTTGCTGTGGGATTGCATCTCCTATGTATGGCATGGCAGAGCTACACTCATAGTCTCACTGACATGACTGCCTAAACACAAGCTGAACAAGGACAGCATCAATAGGAATGCCAATACTCAGAGAGAAAAACCCAGGAAGCCTTAACCCTACACAACTCAGCAAATAAGGAATGCCGAGAGTGGGAGAGACTTCCCTGGGGAAAGGTACACAATTAATTATCCAATACCAAATTATCAACCCTGAAGGCAGATGTACAAGTAACATTATATGGAGTGAGCTGAGTATAGTATATATTTAAGACTTTGTATGAACATATATATGTGTGTGTATATGTGTGTCTGTGTGTGTGTGTCTGTGTGTGTGTAACAAAAATTAAAAAAGAGACCATGAATTTGAAAAATTCTTCATAAAAAGAAAGGTTATATAAGAGTGTTTGGAGGGATGAAAGGGAAATGATGCAATTATATTATAATCTCAAAAATAAAATAATTTTAAAAGAAAATGAACTTTATTATGAATTAAGAATATTCCAATGGGAATTAGTTATCTTTATATAAGAAAATATAGACACTGCATGAATATAATTTTCAGAAACCAACATTTTCTACAATATTGGTTTAAAAACTAATTATATGTTTATCTACAATGCAGTTCTCCCTCAAAAAGCAATGAAAAACTAAAAACCACTTACTGATATCTACTCTTCTAATTATACTTAAGAACTGGGAAAATATTAAAGTACATCTTTACTATTAAATTTAAGTGCATTCGCATAATTCATTCTGGTAAATATATATTGAAGTTTGATTATAGCTCAAAACCAATACTTAATTTCTGTGTTTTACGTGATTTGCATAGGAGATTCTTTCTTGAAAGTATCTGTCTCAACAAGGGCTTCACAGAATCTTAAATCAAAATAACAAATGGTGTTGATCAAAGTTTTCTGTTCTGCCGAGTTTCTACAATCGTTAAGTCCCAAAGAAATCACACAGAGGTCTACATTAACTATAAACTGATTGGCACATTAGCTCAAGGTTTGTATTAACTCTTAGAACGTATATTATCCCATTATTCTTGTTTATGTTAGCCACGAGGCTCAGTACCTTTTTTAGCAGTCACATCTTGTTTCTTTTGTGACTGGGCAAGGACTGCAAAGGAATGGACTTCTTTCTTCCCAGAATTCTCCTGTTCTCCTTGACCCACCTCTACTTCCTGCCTGGTTGTCCTGCCTGTATTTCTTGCCTGGCTACTGGCCAATCAATGTTTATTTAAAATATAATTGACAGAATATAGACAATTGTCCCACACCTCTCAAACTTCCCTCTCAAAACTTTCAAACTTCATAACCCGGTACTTTATCCTCTACACTGCTCTGAACATTCTTATCTCCTAAGCTCCCACAGAATATCCCAGAGAGCTCTTCTAGCCTAAAGTTCCACAGTTTTTCCACAATTCTACAAAAAACATTGTCAGGCCTGTCACAGCAATACCCAACTCTGCTGGTACCAACTTCTGTCACAGTTAGGGTTTCTATTGCTGTTACAAAACACCATGATCAACAAGCAAGTTGGGGAGGAAAGGGTTTATTCGGCTTACACTTATAGATCAGAGTCTATCATTTTAAGATGTCAGAACTGGAACTCAATACTCAAGCAGGGCAAGAACCTGGAGGTAGGAACTGCTGCATGGAGGGAAGCTGTTTACTGGCTTGCTCAGTCTGCTTTTTTTTTTCAATAGAACCCAAGACCACCAGTCCAGGGATAGGACCACCCACAATGGGTTTGACCCTCCCCCATTGATCACTAATTGAGAAAATACTTAACAGCTGGATTTCATGAAGGCATTTCCTTAATGGAGGCTTCTTCCTCCTGGGTGAGTCTAGCTCTTGTCAAGTTGACACACAAAACCAGTCAGTGCAGTATTCATTAGGTCATTGTCACCAGTGTCTCTAGGGTTCTAAACAGATCAAGGTGTTATTATACATGTGATAGCTGAATTGGTAATGGACAATATTGGTGTGCCACATCACATACAATGAGGAATAATTCTCTTCATTTCAATATTTATAATCAGCAAAAAGCAATGTGTGAAGCAAAGAAGAAACAATTATGACATTGTCTCTTAGTAAATAACTCAATGGAAAGCAATTTTAAAACTAAAGAATTACCTTAAATTGCCCTTCATGTTAACAATAAGGGAAAAAGATCAATCACACCTGCATATGGACTCTGTTCAAACAATAGCTAATCCAGAACGAATATTAATACCACAAAGTCAATTAAAATAAGTATATAGATCAATTAAAATATTTTCACCTTCTTATAAGTTGCACTTTTAGTGTGTTTAATTTATAGTGAGTAAGGAAAACACCACCATTACTCACAATTTTGATCCTGCTATTTATCAAACATAATTTTGTTAAACATGGTTATCTTGTGATATTACTATACTGATCCAATCACATAAATACACTTTGAACCACTATGAGCTTATAATAAGCTATGGAGCCAGTGTTCTTGTAAAATTACTACATGGAACA